ACAATTCAGTTTTGGCGAAGAAAAATACATTCTCTACATTATGAGTATCAATTGTTTTACAAATCTCTCTCACAATCTCTCTAGAATAGAGAACAATCCTCTCTAATCTCAAATCTCATGAAATTCTAATTAGGAATCCCTAAACAACAGAGTTTTAATTTATACAAACCCTAAAAACCAAATCCCAGCAGGAACCTAGAATTCAGCCCAAACCCGTCATGAGTCGACTCAAACGTGCACGAAACCCCTAGAGTTGACTTATGATTTCATAAGTTGACTCAGTAGAAACTTTTGTTAACTAGAACGGGTTTCGTAAGTCGACTCATGCCAACCTTGAGTCGACTCATGTCGGGCTTCAGTCGACGCATGAGCTGAAAACTGCACGCTTCGATTTCACGCTTCGCCATTTCGCTTCACGCTTCAAACTAACACTTTATTCTCAAGCTACCATAAGAATCGTCTATCCTCAAGCTCCCATGAGGATCACTAAGATTCCAAAGAGAAGATACACCCGTATCACTAATAACTATATCTTTTTAATTAAAATTGATTCCTAAGTTCTGTGTAAGACCCATCAACTCTAGATTAGGCCTAGTTTATCCCCCAACAATTTGGAGGACATTCATCCTTCTTCCAAAAACTTTCTACTCACACAAAATTTTTAATATAGTAGTGTGCATGTACACACACACACTCTCTCTCTCTCTCCCCCCCACTACTCTCTCTCTCTCTCTCTCTCTCTCTCCCTCTCTCCCTCTCTCTCCCTCTCTCCCTCTCCCTCTCCCTCCCTCCCTCCTATTATTAATATATTGATCTTTATAATCATAAAATTTTCTACATATTACAATCGTGATACTGTGACTGCATGTTATGTACGTTTCTAGTACCATAAATTTTATGAAAAATATGTGTAAGATAGGAATTGAAAAGATTAGCTACATCAGATTGTAGTTGTCAATTCATATATATTACCTATATTTCTAAGGAGATGTTATTGGTCGAAGAGAATATGATTGATTAATTTGTATTGCTTCAGATATCAATCTAATTGATAAAGATTCTCTTCAATTAGATGATATTTCTAGAACCCGGTTCCATCTCAAACACGTGAGATGTGTGTGTGTGTGTGTGTGTGTGTGTACGTACGTGTAGAAAAGCGATAGGGTGAGATGGTGAGATAATTTGCTTAATGTGAGATGCCCATTCTACATCGTTAGATTCAAATTAAAGGTCAAATTTAAACTAATAGGTTAATTAATTGAAGATATGTGGCTCCACCAATTATTTAATTTCCATGCCAAATCTTTTCTAAGATTTTCCATATCCTCTCTACCACCTTCTCTCTTTCTTATTTGGGTTCAGGTTAGGGTTAGGGTTAGGGTTATTAGGTTCGCATTAGGGTTAGTGTTAGGATTGCGGTTCGGGTCTGGGTTCGTGTTAGGGCTCGAATTTGGGTTAGAGTTAGTGGGTTTGGGTTTGGGTTCAGGTTCGAGCTAGGTTAGGATTAGGGTTAGGGTTAGGGTTCGGGTTCAGGTTAGGGCTCAGGTTAGGGTTAGGGTTAGGGTTAGTTGGTTGGAGTTCGGGTTTGGATTTGGATTAGGGTTACGGTTTAGGTTACGGTTAGGATTAGAGAAGATTTGGCAAAGAAATTAAATAAATATAGCGGTCATATATCTTTAGTTAATAAATATATTAATTTAAATCTAACCATTAATTTGAATCTAACGGTGTAGAATAGTCATCTCATGTTAAACAAACTATCTCACCATATCGCTTCAATATGTATATATGTACACACACACATTCATACATATACATATACATGTATATGTAGATATAGATATACATATACATGTACATATACATATGCATATTCATATACATGTACATGTGTGTGTGTTTATATATTATAATGATCATTATATTAACAGTAGGATTATATATATAATCCTACTATTAATATAATGATCATTATAATCATGAAATTTTCTACATATTGCAATCACGGACTGCATGTCATGTACATTTCTAACACCATAAATTTTATGAAAAGCATGAGTAAGATAGGAATTGAAAAGTTTAGCTATACCAGATTGCAGTCAACAACTCATATATATTAGCTACATTTCTAAGGAGATGTTATTGGTCGCGAAGATAATGGATTGATTAATTTTTATTGCTTCAGATATTAACCTACAACTGATAAAGATTCTCTTCAATTAGATGATATTTCTAGAATCTAAAATAGAAGACATATGAGCTAGATAGAGGATAGGTGGGCTACTTTTTGAGACCATAGCTAAAAAGTAGTGGAAACAACTATTTATAAATTATAATCTACGTAAGTTAGAAATGAGTATAATACAAGGAGGATAAAATGAACATTAACATTTAGCGTGAATACAAGTTAAAATATATAGTATATCCAATGTGCTACTATTTTTTATCGTGAAGAAGATTCAAATATGTGAATAAGGGGGTGTGATCAGGCCTTGAGTCCGAGAACTCGCTCATCAATCAGGTGATAACTCATCAATTTGATCATACTCAGTTTCTTTTCTTCGGTTATTTAAAAATAACCATTGCTATTTCTAAATCTTTAAAGATAGGCTTAATTGCTTTTGCATCATTTATTTACTCAAAAGTTTTTTAAAATGCGCATTTAGATACCTTAAATTTTTTAAAATTTGCACTTAAATACCCTTAAGTTTTTAAAACTTGCAAATAAACAAGTGAGGGTATATTTCTTATATCATTATCACCTG